GACCGCGCGCCGTGGATATTTACGATCCCGCGACAAGTATGAACATTATAATTACTTATGGATGTGGACACGCCCTGAGAGAAAAATTCATCCGGGGAATGCGCTGAAGTAACCACGTCCTTGACCGTACTTGACGGAAACGGCATTCAACCTTCTGATGCCTTCTTCTCCAACATGGAATTCTACCGCGAGTCGGTGTATATTCATCTGAGTTTGAAACTTTTACTCTGAACGTTATTCCGAGAGAATTTTAGAAAAAGAAAAGAAAAATGAAATTGTAAAAAAGAAGAAACTAATGGAGTTTCTTTATTTGAGAAATAATAGTAATCTATTGTTTGAAAAGAAAAGAATGACGACACTGAAACTTTGACGTGATACAACGCATCGAAATAGCAATAAACCATACTTGCAAATGAACTAATTTAATACCACTTAATACACAATGATTTACAGATCGTTCAATTCATAAAACATAGACTCGAAGCTTTCAAAGATATCAGATATCCTAACGAGCGGTAAAGTCATTAAAACGGTAGATTAGATCACCCATCCCATTCTAACTCGCCGTAAACTCAAGAAAAATAAAAGCAGAAAATATCCCACGTCCAGACAAGTCTCATCACCCCGTCAAATTAACCACACGAGTCCACGAATCACCTTAAATACGCTTCTCCACGGGCTTGGCAACGTAATTACGTTGAAATTATTCTAATACAGGCCAAATTATCCAAGAGTATTATCTGCCTGATTTGGAAGTATGCACGGCGGACGATGGAAACAGATTTGTAACCTCGAACAGTTAAATGACACGGGAAAGGTACGGAAAGTCTGGCATTCTCGCGTTTTCTTTACGAACGCATAGTTGCGCGCGCAAGGTAATCGCATCTCTTCGGTTGCATACCACATCAGGCAAATTCTCGATGGCGCGTAGTCATCTCGATAAAGCACGTTTCCATAAAAATGACGCGATAAAATTAATTGCTCGACGTTAATTTACGAGAATGTCGTAAGAATTTAAGCTTCCGTAGAAACCAGTATATAGAATAAGAGAGGATAAACCATTTGGAAAATTCATTTCGTATGGTTTAGGTTAGGTTAGGAATTTACAACACGATCTGTTTTTCGTCTTTTCCGCCTGAAGAGTTTTCTACTCTTTTCTTTTTCGCAACGGCGACGACGACGTAACACAGCACGCGTTGTCCGGTTCAAGTGAGTACAAGCGCGAAAAAGGGGAGGAATTTATGCCGTCGTTAACGTAACGTTCCCCGGTGTAAGGTGGTTTGCAAGCAACATCGTAAAACCCGCGTCTTCTCGATTTATCGTAGCACGAGCAACAAACACTTTGCTCGCATTCCCTTCATTCGCCAGTGCGTGGAATATTTCGCGCGAAGGTTGTTCACCCTTTCCACAAGGACTAAAATCCTTCCTGATCCTGCAAGGTAATTATGACGTGCTGATAATCAACGCTGAAACGTGAATATTTTTCAAAAAATTTTCTTGCTACGTTCTTCTTCCTACGATTGCATTGATTTTTAGAGTAATTTTTTTAAGTTACCTATAGTTAGAAAATAATCGTGAGATTATTGAATAATTTTTAACCTGTTCAATGTCACGTGTATCACACGACAGTTTTTGGAAATAGAATTTCTATTGGACGAAGATAAATACTCTTCAATCCAAGGTTCAAAAATAAGATACGCAGAAAAGTAGGACATAATGCTATTGACATTTTTCTACAATTAAACATTTTAACGTGATTTTGTTCACTTTGTTTTAAAGTTCTTACGAGAGTAATAAAATAAACATTATCATTCTGTGGATACGCAGCCGTCAATGGTGAAACGCAAAGAATCGCCTCGAAACTTTTTACCGCTGTAATCATTATCTTCGTAACGAACACGCGTGCCATTCGAAATAATTAGAAGACATTGAAATGGTTTTATCGCTAGGTAGAGTATCTAATATCTTAAAAGCTTCAACATGACTGTACAAGGAGACATTCGGTGCAAATGTTACTATATTAAACCTCGACCATGGTAGGACGAAGCACCTGTTACACAACCTATAAAACCAGGTTGGATTAGATCGAGTAAGTAATTCGTGCTCGTTAAAAGTCACACTTTTAACAATTTAAATTACCATCTCTACCTCATCCGCAAGTTCAAACAGTATATTAAAGAAGAAGTCGATGAAATTTCTAACACTCGATTGTAGTAATACAATTCGCATCGCAGCTGCCATCTACAAAACTTTTTATTTACGACTTAAAATAATACACTTGAGAAAAATTACTGTAACTGAAAAAAGTACAGCAGATGAAATTAACATGTAACTTGTCAACCTATGATCACATGAAATGTTAATATTTTTTAATACTTTTTACTACTAGCGTTTATTGTAATTTATAAATTAAAAAAATTAATGTTTTCAAACATCTGTGTTATATAATTAATTATAAAAAGCAATTGTATTTAGTATTGAAATTTTTTTACTGAACTGGAAACTGAAAACATTCACAAAACTAATGTAACATTATCTAATAAAAATATGCAAAAAAACGTATTTGTACATGACCGGCGCGAAATGTATTAATTATCTAAATGAATGAACCCTTAGATCTGTTTTTGTTATTCGTGGGCTAACATGCGATAAAATGCCTAACAGGTCAAAGCTTTTCAGAAAATACCAACTGTGGGGGGCACGACAAGTAAACGCCTGTTGAAAGTAAACATATCGCGAACGTATGGCGGCGCGAGGATTGAAAAAGTGGAAAGAAAGTTGCCAATGCGCCTCGCATACCTACTGATCCGCCGGTCGCGAACAAGTTTCGCAGTGAATGGACCGAGCGAATGAACTTTTCACTCACTTGCATCCACGAGCCGAATTAATCCCGATTAATCGAAGCTTCGTGACCGCCTGCACGGACCAAGTAATTTTATTTCGACCATAGCATCATGGACTATGGTCATTTTTTATCAATAAACGATGATACACGCGCGTTATTGAGAGCACGATTTTCAGATAATTTTCGAGCATTTTGCAGCAGCTTTCTAAATCGAACGAGATTACTGCTTATCGATATTACAATGACTAAGGTGGTTATTTCCAAAACAACCTCGACGTTTTTGCGTTATTTGAATTCGCTATGCAACGTCACGTAAAAGTCTTTACACGCGACTATTTTTTTCTTTTTTTTTCATGGTAAAAAGATTTACTGGTAAAAGAACTGTAGACGAAAAAAGAAATAGAAAATGAATTTTTTTTCTTTATTCCGGAATTTCAGAATACGAAAGTAAAAAATTTTTGAGGTTAGTTTGTATTTAAATGCGCTTTGTTTTAAGCGCGTGAGTGGCAAAAGATGCACCAACACTGGTTCTACGCGTACATCTTTTTTCTTTTTTCTCAGGATATCGAAGGTCGTTCGATGCAATATCGATGTACACGGAGTACGATAAATATTTGCAATTTATGTCATGGCGGTCATAATGGGGGACTACGTAGGTATTTCGTAGGCGTGAATTACAGGTGATTGCCGTGTAGTCACAGTGCCATCGACATCTTCGTTTTCAATGCTTCCAACGTAACGTTAAAGAGATTAGAATAATATTGACATTTCATTCGAATTCTACGCTCTTCGCATATCTTTATATGTATATAATTATTTATTTCATTTTGTCGATTGATATGGAATCATATTTGTGTAAGGACAAAGAATCAGAATTATGTATTCAAATCATTTGTTGGTGAAAAAAAAGTACCGTAAAAACCCGAGAAACAGCCCGTGCAAATGTATCTGAACATCGACTATCTGATCGATAAGAAATTTCGCGCGATACAAGCAATTTAACGCGACCGCGACACTGTCTAGAACAATCATGCTTAAAGCTCGAAAACGTTATCGATTAACGATAAACAGTGTATTTGCCTGGATCGAGAGAATATCTACTAAAAATGTCATGGGCAGGGAATCTCCTTACAAAACGACGAAGAAACACTCGCTGTTTTTTCTAGTTTTCATAACTATTGATTCTACCACTTGCAGGTATATTAAATTTCTGTAGTTTCTTCTTTATAATTAGATAGAATATATGACAATGTGTTAATTTACTCAAAATATATCGAAAATACGTGGAAACAATGAAAAATTACTTAGAACAAAAAGGAGGAAACAAGTGCCAAAACAATGAATCATAGCAATTCATTTGAACGTGACAGTGATAATGCGATAAAAATGCTCACTACGCGATTTACGATTACTCCAGTCGGTGTATACAGCGCATACGAATGCAAAACACCGTCCACCGTGAATCGAAATATTACTAGTCTCGGTGTAACAGTTGACACCGCAAAGCAATCATAGGCTATATTTTCATTGTGACTTTGAAGTTTCATTTGCATAAAAATTTCTTTAGTGCACAGTAACCGAGACACAAGATAAACTCGTCGTTTTGTGGTAGAACACTGTTTACCGTATAATCGTATAGCCCCTGCTTGTGTCTCGATGAAGTGCCAGTGGAAATAAAATTGCATTAGAATTCTTGCCGCAGGAGATTTGTTAGCGAGTACACCGTCTGTGCGTCTCTTTTATAAAAATGAATTCATGTGATGGACACATACATACTCTCACGTGTCAGTATAGATGATACGACTGCACGTTGTCGATAGTAGGATTTTTCCGATTGAAGTCCGTTACCGTGACCAGGCACGAAGTATATACATAGATATGTATGTTCATGAGTTGATTATCGTCGGAGACGGTACAGCAACAGGTGTGACCACGACAGGCGATTCTCCACGGAGAGAAATCCACATCGGTGTACTCGGTACAATGACTCCAGTCAAGAAATCATTTCCATAAATACCTTGACAGCAGGCGTTTCACCGAGTCCGCTGGATCCCTATTCCGCAGTTCGGGATCCGTACGGAACAGGTAGGCATAAAAAATCACAGCTCACAAGACATAAATGCAAACGGAACTGTTTCACACCATTTTTACTTACCTATTTACAAATTTTCACAATACGCACACACCAAAAAAGAAAAAGAAAGAGAAAGAGAAGGAGAAGAGGCTCTTGGGCAGAGAACTACGTGCCGATCATGCTCGACTGGAAATACCTGAACGACTACTTGATTGCTCTTTGCTTGGTTCGCTTCTTACCTGTTTTGCCCAGATGCATTCCTGATACGGACTCTCTCATTGGTCAGTTTATACCTGGGAAATATGGCGTTCAGATCTAACGGAATCGGATATTTTCGGTATGATGAAACAGGGATGTATTAATGTCCTGAGGAAATACTGTACTTCAGATGCAATTAGCTAGCTGTAACGAGTAATTAACATCTACCAATATTGCGATCTTGTCAATTATATTATTGAACAAAGTAAAAATGAAAGTTGAAAGCAGTGTTACCAAAATAATAAAAAAAAGAAACTGAAAGGAAATCATTTAGCAATGGCTTAATTATAAATTTATTAATAACAAGATGAAAATTGTTAAAAAGTTATTTACTAAAATCGATTGCATATATTTTGCAATTTTATTTTATGTTTTTGACTTTATATATTATAAAATTTTAAAACATAAATAATTACTACACGACATTCTTACAGGAACAACATTCTATTACAAATAACAACGTAAGTAAAATATAAAATAATGGTATATTACTCGGCACATTTAATTAAATAAGTCGAATGATTTAAAAAAAAATTATTCAATAAAACGAACTATGTACATAATTCGATAGCTTTACATTTCTTGTGATATTACGGAATTTCTGAAAAAATTCCAAGATTTGTACCTTGCACCAATAAGACTATTCGTTACAACGAATGAATATAAGATCTTTCCTTGTAGATGGGTAATACCTGTTGATTAGTATTGGAAGAGAAATACGTGTATTAAATTATTTAATTTAACACAATATGTTTTATAAATCATTTTTTACTTTCACATACGTAACAAAATATTTATATTAATGGAAGACAAAAATTAGTAGGAATATACTTTTTATTTATGATGTACAATTAATAAATTTAGGAAAAAAAATTTGGAAGAGTACACTATACTAAATACAATATCAAATATAATTTGATTAAAAAATATTGGACCTATTTGAAGTGCAATAAAAAAGAAATATAATATTCAATTATTGAGTATTTTACCAATAGTTGATTGAATTTTAGGAAAATAATACTTTATTTTCTTAGAAAGTGAAAAAATATAGGGAAAAATTTCAATTAAATAAATTAGCATAGAGTTTCTTAAATTACTATCCAGTTTTATTCCTGTTTGTACATTGTACTTTATCTTTAATAATACATAAATCTACACATTTAAATGTTAAATTCTTACACGTCATTTGCATAATCTTCTGGGTTCTTTCGGTGCATTTTATAATTTTCTTCACATGCCCATTCTCTTAACATATAGCCTCCAAGAAAAACTGAAATGTAAAACAAAACTTTAATACATAAAAATATAATATTGATCATGATATAAAAATTTGTTTGATTAGACAACCACTGTAATATCTTTATTGTGTTGAAAATAACACAATTAATTATTACTAGGTAATAAGACAAGCTTACAGGGTCCAATTCGAAGAAAATGTGACATTGCTCGAAATGCCATTCTATTAACACCATCAACAATTCCAGTAAAAGCTTTTTGTTCATATGGGCTGAGGCGAAAATATGTAATACCAGACATCCGTTTAAGATTTCCAAATTTCAACCCCATTTTGACTAAATTCTGCAAAAAAAATTATTTAAATTCTTTAGGAGATAAATGAACATAACCAAAAAACTGTAAGTACTATTAAAATATGTTTTAATAATTTTAAAAGATCTTATTTGAGAAAGGAATTTTTATTTAATTCGTGTCATTATTAAATATCAAAACTTAATTGTTCTAAAATGATAAGACTTACATAATTCGTACTTCACTAGACGAGACGTAACAAAACTGAGAGTACTGATACCTAGCCTAGTATTTTGCTAAGTGGTGCATATATCTATATCATGCGCAAAAGTGGTAAATTTAAACTGCATA